CCAAATACGCCAAGCTATAAATTGGTATTACAATATTTGAGAACAATTAACATAGAAAATGGACAAAGTTAGTGTTTTGTGAATCTGGAATACTCATTTAAACGAATTATTGTCAAGTGACACTTGACTTGTTTAAAAGTGTTGGATACGAGGAACAAAACATCCTCAAAGCAATCTTCAAAGTGAATGAGGGTAGACTAAGGATAGAGCTAGGGTCAAAGTAAATGGGTATCCGCAAAAAAAATGGCGTACTATATAAAATAAGATAAAAACCAAAACCGCAATTTCATTAGACATAAAGTTCAACTTCCATAACAAAGTTACATTTTAAAGTTCGCATCTTCGCTCTTTCATTTTACGAAAGCGAGTATTTACAAAGATAAATTTTTATTTTCAAATTTTCATGATTGTGCTCATTTTGTAGAGAATTAAATTATAAAAACTTTGGTTTTTTAGATTTTTTTTATAAAGGAAAAAAATTATGGATGAAAAATAAAGTGGGTAGAAAAAAAAATACCAGCCAATGGTAGCTTGCCATGCCATGTGGCTGGGAGTGGGGAAGAGAGGGTGAAGGTGCATGAAACGCCTGTATGGCCATATATATATATATATATATATATATATATATATATATATATATATATATATATATATATATATATATATATATATATTTCATTTTAACTCTCCAAACAATTAATTTTTATGGGAAAATACCAAAATCTTACACAAAGGAGATTTTGTTTCAAAAGGACCCGGTCAAGGTTCTTTTTTTCCGACCACATTAGATGCTACTTACAGGGTCGGTCCAAACATATATGAGGCCCGAGGCGAAAAGAAAAAAATGGCCCCTTAAAGACAAATATAATAAAGATTCAAAAAATATATATATCAATCATTTTTCATTATAGACGTGTACAATTAGCAATAGTAAGGAAGCCAAATTGTTTATGTTTTGAGCTAATTTGAGTTTGAATCAACTTTACGACCTAAAAATCATTTAGGTAATCATTATATATATATATATATATATATATATATATTATATATATACACACACACACTACATAACCCATAAATTTTTGGCCCCCTAGAGACGTGGGTCCTGGGCTGTCGCCCGGGTTGCCCACCGTCTGGGCCGACCCTGGCTACTTACCTATTCATGAATTTTTGAGACATGGTACCAGATCTTGGAGAAGATATGAGCTATGATCAATATTAGGCTTGAATTAGGGATTTTTTAGTGCTGATTTCTCTTTTGCCTGGTACTTCTGTTTAACCTTCACAAGTTCGCCCTCACTGGTGCCTTGGTAGCGGAAATTCATCGAACCAAAAAACAGTAAGACGAAGTGGCCCACAAACAGTCTAACCTGTTTTTGCTAGGAACATGCATCAAGGGCCATGAAATTCAAGCCCCCTATTTACTAAATGATTACAATTACATAACCACAAAAAATATGGGGCTATATAGAAAGAAAAAACTACCACCACCTACAAAGAAAAATCAGATAATTATACCGGCTTACTCAAAAAAAAGGTTAAAAACTTTTTATATTGATTGTGGGCAATGATTTTGTCAAGTAAGTCTACTTCCACTTTCTAAATATATTTTTATAGTTCAAACCAATTAATTTCTAAGATGACAATTTAGAACTTTTTTTTTGTTATTGCTTTAATTTTATCTAGATATTGAGGATTGGGTCATGATTGCTTGATTATCTTGGATTTATATGTATATAATATTTCTTGAAGTAGTAATTTTTTTGTATGTATGTTAGTGCAGGGGTGAAGGCAAAAACATTTTTTAGGGTGTTCCTCGTAAAATAATTGAAAATATATATATATATATATATATATATATATAATATATAGATATATATATCTATATACTATATATATATATATATATCTATATATATATAGGGCCGGTTTATTGATTTTGAAGGTCTTATGCGAAAAGTGAAAATGAGCCCCCTAAATACAAGTTTTTTATATATAAGCAAAATAAATCATAAAATGAAAAACTAAAAACTAAATTAAATTAGTTAAAAATGGAATTATGGAAATTTATAAAATTTGAGGTGTGAAATATATAAATTTTGAAAACTAACTTACTAAAAGAATTGAACTTCTAAATATGATGAGCTTAAATGTAACCTTAGAAATGAATTACCTAAAAAAAAGCATGCCAAATGTAACACTATGGAATCAAACTGCCATTGTTTGCGAAAGGGATAAGGCGTTTTCCCAACTGAACTACAAATGTTTTTTTAAAAATAACTTGCAAATGGTTTTTATTTATAAAAGCAAATAAAATAAAAAAATAATAAAAAATTAAAAATTTGAGGTGAGCCTAGGCTTACACATACCATTGTATTTTTTTTGTTTGCTGTTTTTCTTCTATGGGTTTAACCACACCATTTGGATTGATTTTCCTTTTGAGGGAGAGAAGTCGTTTTACAATCACAACGACCAAGACCGAAACAAATCTCGTATGCACATTAGCACACCCAGACCGATCTAGAAAATGTTCAGTCTTTTCTAATGGTGTTTGTGTACTTCTTTCTTTGTTGAGTCAATGTGGGACACACAACTATCCACCAAAATGCTACACATGCCCTTTGATCTCTCTTCACATGTTTTTTTTATAATTATATTAATCACATTATTTAGAAATATGTAAAGATGACTATTCTTATAAAACAATATGTTATTTTTTTTTATTAATTTTTTTTGTGAAACTTTCATTCACTGGCTGCAAGGAGGTTATTTTTATATTTTGTATTTTTTTTATAATTTTATATTTAATTATAAATAATAATGATGTCATCCAGGTTTTTGGACCGGTCCGACTGTTTGACCATCGAACCACTAAGATGACCAATCCAGTTTTTAAAATATTGGCTATGATGGATTAAATAGTAAATTCAAACATTTTAAGATTATTGTTTTTGTGATTATTTTGTAAATTAAATACTTGTATCATATAAAAATGCCAAAATAATAATAATAATAATAATAATAAACTTTTTGGGAGGTATTATAACTAGAATGATGCCTATCTAATCAGAAATCTAATTGTTACTTGGAATTTGGATATATTTTTCTAATAAACATTCTTACCTTATAACACAACGTGTAATTTGAGAAAATACATAGAAAGACATCTTAACCTCATAATCTGTATGAAATACTATAGTTTAATTTGAGGAGTTCCGTATTAAACCTAATGCATGCCAATTAAATTCAATCAAAAAGACATAATTATTCTAGTATATAATGAAATCCTGCTTTCATAGAAAGTCTAAACTGAAAATTCCAAATTTAGAGTTCATGTTCTTTGTTTATCGATCAATTAGTCCACTTTAGCCAATCTTTTGTAAATTACCCACAAATTAAAGCATGTGAGTAACAAGTGTATATGGATGGACCATATTTTAGTATCACTTCCACAGATAACCAACATTAAGATTTGTCCTATAAAATTGTTCATTAAAAATATACAACATTAATTAAATAGATTTAAAATATAAAGTTTTCAGGTTGCCTTAGTTGACACAAATAGAGAAAGGCCACCCATGGTGTCGGTGGCAATTTAATTGATATTGGGGACATAAAAACTCCTGTCAAATACAAGTGAAGCATGATTTAATTACCATACTATCTACGTTCAACCATTTGTAGATATGCAAAGAACACCATCACCTTCACATACTCCAAATCTTTGAATCTATCATAAATATGAAAAAAAAGCATGTCTCCCACGACGGTTGAGAAGTAAAGCACCACATGCAATCCAGAATCCAGTAACAAAACCAGTGCCTTCACCAACATAGAACCACCCCCAAAGTTCATCTGTGTCTTCCCCACCATCCTCCCTCTCATCAATGATAGGTGGTGCTTCTGATTCTTCATCTCCATGACATTTTTTGGTAAGGGGAGGTCCACATAGTCTTGGGTTTCCAATGTATCTTGAAGGATCAATAGACTGCAGTTGAGTGCTGGATGGAATTCTCCCTGACAAGCTATTATATGACACGTCTAGATGATTTAAAAAATTCATACTAGACATGCTTAATGGCATCTCTCCAGACAAGTTGTTTCTAGATAAATCCAAAGTTTCAAGTTGTTCCAATTGACCAATTTTTTCCGGAATCTCTCCAAGCAGACCATTCTTTGACAAGTTGAGTGTATGCAGTCCATAGAGATTGGTAACTTCAGATGGAATTTGTCCTATTAAGTTGTTGCTTGACAAATCAATGCTCTTTAACAATCCCAGAGTACTGGTGAGTTCACGTTCATATCCTTTCCACTCCATCATTGCATGGTCAAGATACTCATCAACAAGTACAACATAAACACCATCTCTTGGGAAAAACAATTTAATTGAATAGGAATGTACATTATGTGTTGGTAATGAACCTGCTTGAGCCATGTTTGTAAGATTATCCAAACACGAGGGGATGTGTCCATGGAGATTGTTCAGTGACAAATCCAGAATTTTAAGATTAGCTAACTGACATAACTGTAAAGGGATGGTTCCAAAGAATGAGTTTGATTTCAGGATAAGAACATACAACCTTGATAAGTTTTCCCCAATCCAAACAGGCACGTTACCAGAAAACTTGTTTGCCCCCAAATTCAAAAAACTTAAACTCGTGCAATTTTTTAAAGACAAAGGCAATTCTCCAGATAAGTTGTTCTTGTACAAATACAATACCTCTAATTTTATCAAAGATGCAACGGAGGGAGGAAGCCTTCCAGATAGATTGTTGTGTCCTAGATTAAGAATTTTTAGTTCTTTGAAGTGCCACAAACAGTCTGGAAGTTGTCCGCTTAGAAAATTATGGGAGAGGTCAAGAAAAACTAAAAACCCAGGGACAATTTGACATAAGAAGGAGATTCCACCATAAAATTTGTTTCTAGAAAGATTTAGTAATGCCACAGTGGGAGAGATATTTGTTATAGGACCATAAAATCTGTTGGAACTCAAATCTATCCTAGAATTGTTGCCAAAATTTGATGATAAATCTGGTACTTTCCCACTGAAGTTGTTGGAAGAGAGATTGAGATATGTTAATTGAGAAGGCCACATGTCCCAAAACCCCGGAGGAATCGTGTCTGAAATTCCATTGTTGGCAATATGACAATGGAATTTCAAGACTGGTAAGATTTTTGATTTTTTGAATCCATTTGGGGAAGCGAGGCCCTAGACTGCAAGAGCTCATATCAAGAATGGAAAGATTTTTGAATGTTAGGATCTCATTGGAGAGTGTCCCTATAAATCGGTTATGTCCAGCAAACAACCCTTGTAATGTAAGCGATGTGCATCCAGACGACAAGTTGTTGAGAAAATCAGGAAATTTGATAACAACAGAGTTGTTATCAAATGCAAAATATTCCAAACTACAGAGGTTACCAAGATATTTGGGTGTCCCATCTAACATGTTGCTAGATAGATCAAGAAGATGAAGCTGATTGTTAGTTAATGGGAACAACCAACGATACATGGATGAGGTGAGATTGTTGTTTCTGAGAGAAAGGAAAGAAATAGATGAAGAAGAGTTGAGAAATGAAGAAGAATATGGATACATGACCTGTGAGAGCTCACATCCATCTAAACTTAACCATGATAGTTTCCGGAGACTCAAAATCACATCTAACCAATAATTTTGTTTGGCAAGAGAAGTCCCATCCATTTCAAGATGCACCAAATGAGAGAGATGAGACAACCAGTCGAGGTTCTCAACTCTACATCTTCCAACATCTCGAAGGTAAAGGTATTGCAAGTTGGTGAGGTTTCCAAACTCTGGAGGAATGGTTCCATAAAAGGAGTTATAGGAAAGGTCAAGGGACGTTAACTCTGTCAAGGAACCAATGGACCTGGGAATGATTCCATTAAACTGATTCCAACCAAGGTCAAGGTGCCTTAAACGAGTCATGGAACCAATGAAGGTGGAAATGGTTCCATGAAAAGAATTGTAGGAAAGATCAAGATGATTCAAACTGCTTAAATTAAGCAAAGAATTGCTAATCTCACCTACAAGACCAAGTCTGTCAACATCAAGCCCTGTGACATGATGTGTTTGGTTGTTGCATGTGACTCCTCTCCATTTACAACAATCTTCTTCTTCTTCTTCTTCAGCTCTCCATGTAGAGAGAGTTTCATCGGGGTCTTGGAGGCGAGCTTTGAAATCAAGGAGAGCACGTCTCTCCTTATCAGAACACTTTCTCATAATAACACCATTATCATCTCCTCCTCCCAATTGGTCGGAAATTATAGTCTCAGCGTGTAGCAATAGAAGTGAGAAAATTACAAAAACACAAGGATTCATTATGTTAATGCAAATCTTTGTGACTTTTTTTTTTCAATTTTTTTGGTAGTGATGCATATTCAAACTGCCCCTCATGAGGATTTATATAGTCTTAATTGTGAAGACGAAAAATTCAAATGAACAACCTCAATCTGGTGGCCTGTTTGTTTGGGGCCTACAATCCGTAATTTCTATGAAATTTCAATGAAAATGTAAGACAAATTAAAGATGAATTGAAAAACAGATTGCCCCAAATTAGACATTTAAAGACTTACAAGTCTTGGAAATTTGTATTTATGAATTGTATATTTTCCCATGCTGTGGTAGTTTTTTGATCCTCTAGTTATATGCAATGAGTCCCTAAAAACGAACTGATGGAATCAAATATAGTAGATATCAGTGAGAACAGTGATATGATATCATTTGGGTCCAAGAATTTAATGACCATGAAAAGAACTTATCTCACTTAAATTAATTAAATCATAAACTTGTTAGAAACAAGCCAAGTTGGTCCATTTCAGCTTTGATCCATGGTCTCCTACATTGTTAAAAATAACTTTTTTTTTTTTGAAAGAGTGCTACATTAGTAGTGACTCTAAAACAAGAGGGTAATAAACTTGCAATTTATATATTTTGAAAAACAACTGAATGAATTCTTTTTATTAATCTGTCTATACTAAAATGTTTAACATCTTTATTAACTACAAAATTAAAGAACGGACGACCACAGTCTCTAGACCTCCCTAGCATTGGTACTATGTTAAACAAATTAATTTTTTCTTTTCACACACAAAACAATAAAAAATATATAAATGAATGAATAGTTCAGAAACATGCAACCCTAATGTAATGTAGTTCGTATAAATGAATGAAGTGTTAGACTAATAATGTAAAAAGAACAAAATGTTGATTCAACAATGTAATGATAACAACAAGACTTTTAATGAATTGTGTAGCTGGTGGCTCTGCCAGAGTGAAAAGAAATGCCCCAGACAGATTAACCGGATCTGATCTCAATATTGGATCTGATCTTAAAATCTAAGAGTAACATCAAGAAAAACAGCTAGATTAGATTCATTCTCCTATAGCTAACCGAATATGATCATGAGATCTATAAAACTGTGAGCCTCACATAGCATCAATTAACCAATTAGCATAAGTTATTCTTTATATATTTCCAAAGGCGGGGTCTAATTCTACAAAAAAAAAAACAAAAAATTTGAAAAAGATAGTACCGGATTTTCAACGGGAGACTTGCTATCAACATCAACAGTTCGCTTGAATTTGGGTCTTTTAGTGTTGATTTCCCTTTGACTACTTCTGCTTCTGTTTCACAGTCTCCGGCGCCTCTGTACTGCAGTCGGAATTCAGCGATTTTCGCGACAGTGATAGCTGCCCGGCCAACAAACTGTATAACCTGCGCTGTTTAAGCAAGCGTCCTGGCCCATGGAAAGCAAGCCGTACATATACTAAGATAAAACACTTATTCGTGGAACAAAATGTGTGTATATCTATTTTCTATATTCATTTTGATTAAAAAATATTCCATTCAAACGAATTAAATCATTAATTGCTAAGATGTCCGTCGGGTTTTTTTTTGGTATTGCTTTAGATTTTATTTAAATATTGGGGGTTTGTTTCTTGATTATCTGATTAAGTGGTTTATATATATATACGACATTTCTTAAAACATTGGCTATCCGGTTTAAGATGAGTGATCCAGTTTTTTGATTATCTGTTTGATGTCATCCGGGTTTAAGGACCGGTCCGACTGTTTGACCATCGAACCACTAAGATGAGTGATCCAGTTTTTAAAACATTGGCTATGATGGATTAAATTGTAAAATCAAACACTTTAAGATTATTTTTTCATGATTATTTTGTAAATTAAAAACTTGTATCATATAAAAATGAAAAAAAAATCACTTTTTGGAGGTATTATAACTAGAATGATGGCTATGTAATTTGTTGCTTGGAATTTGGATATATTTTTTTAATAAACATTCTTACCTTATAACATAAACTGTAATTTGAGAAAATACATAGAAAGACATCTTAACCACATAATCTGTATGAAATATACTCTAAATAGAGTAGTTCCGTATTAACCTAATGCATATATGCCAATTAAATACAATAAAAAAGACATAATTATTCTAGTATATACCGAAATCCTGCTTTCATAGAAAGTCTAAACTGAAAATCCCAAATTTAGAGTTCATGTTCTTTGTTTATCGATCTATTAGTCCAGTTTAGCCATTTTTTTGTAAATTACCCACAAATTAAAGCATGTGAGTAACCAGGGCCGGCCTTATTTTGATTGAAACAAAGTTAGGGCTTAGGGCCCCCACATCTAGAGGGCCCACAAACCAAGGAGTCCATGTATATCCCTATTCCCTAATCGGCTAAGGTGCCTAAACTAATCGCAACACCAAAAAAAAAAAAAACAGACGCTAGATCTTCTTCCTCTCCTTTCTTCAATTCTGCATACGGATTTTGTGAAGTGTGAACTACTGTTGAAATACTTCTTCTTCTTTTGATTCACGGCACAAGGCTTCTTCCAAGTTCCATCTGTTGTTCGTCTTCTTCCTTCTCCATAAAAGGTAATATATGTTAACATGTGTTGTTTTTTCACCATCTTGAAAATCTCCACCATGTTTATACATTGAGTTAATCCCAAAAAGAAAGACATCTATCACAGAAACTTAAAAGAACGGGACTCCACCAAAATAAAAACAAGAATTTCAAAATACCTAAATAACCTAATTCAAAGGAGATAAGATATTTTACCAAAATTAAATACCTTTCGTCCATCAAGATATAAAAGAAACAGAAAAACGGCTCCTGCTTCCGTCACAGTTGGATTATGGCCTCTCCATTACACCTGATTAGTTGTAAGTTTACACTAGACTTCTTTTTTCCCATTTTGTATCTTTTTTATTACAGTCGGATAGTGTTTGTGTAAAGAAATCAGAAATTTTAAGAAAAGATATGATATTATTTCCTTGATGGATTGATGGTGCACACTGTACAATAATATATGCTAGTTGTCACTTTTTACTTTTATCCTTTATGTGTTTAATATTTAAAAATTTAGCATGTTTAGTATGTTTTCCTTTTTATTCTAATTAACTATGTTCAATCTATTGAAAATATATCCTAGAAACTATATTAATTTAACAAGTTGTATAATGAAATTGTAAAAACCATGTTATATGATACACCTAGAAAATTGTGTAAAGATAGAATCTAATTATTAAACTTGTTCATAGGAATGGTTAATTGAGGCTGTTTTAAATTTGATTTAAATGCTATTAAACCTATTTATATAGCTTTAAATATAATTTTGATTCCGGCCCCTTTGGTTATAGTGTTCGTGTTCCGCCATTTATAAACTTTTTAATTTATTATTACCGGTCTCAAGCCCGGATAAATGAGGAGGATTATAACATTAACTATACTAAATCCGGCTTTCTAACTTGTTAAGTTGTTGCTTGCCAAGTCAATGCTCTTCAAGAATCCCAGATGTTTAATGAATTCACGTTCATATCCTTTCCACTCAATCATTGCATGGTCAATATACTGATCATCACATTCACCATAGAGATAACCTCCAGAATAAAAAAATTTAAGGAATGCCCATTATCTGTAGGTAGAAATCCTGCTTGAACCATGCTTGTAAGATTATCCTAACATGAGGGGATTGTTCCATGGAGATTGTTCACTGACAAATCTAGAATTCGAATACCTTTAAGTTGACATAATTGTAAAGGGATGGTTCCGAAGAAGTTGTTTGATCTTAGGATAAGAACATACAACCCCAATAGGTTTTCCCCAATCCAAGCAGGAACATTACCAGAAAACTTGTTGGCCCCCAAATTCAATGAGTTTAAGCTCGTGCAACTCTTTAAAGACAGAGGCAATTCTCCGGAGAAATTCTTCTTGTATAGATCCAATGACTCGAGTTTAATCAAAGAACCAATAGAGGGAGGAAGCCTTCCAAACAGACTGTTGTGACCTAGGTTAAGAACTTTTAGTTCTGAAACATCCCAAAATACGACCCAAAAATTTTCGTTTAATTAATAAATAAAATCATGCACCGAATATCATATCATAGAAACCGTACGTCAAATATCTCAAACCATAGTAAAATATCATAATAAAACCGTATCAAACTGTATCATCTCATATCAAAATAAACTGATCAAACTCCCAGGACTAAAACTGAAGCTGTGGTGTGTGCGATGCCATCATCCCGAGCTCTTCCCTTTACTTGCGGAAGTACCTGAAACCAAAACTGAAACTGTAAGCACAAAGCTTAGTGAGCTCCCCCAAACTACCACATACCATACAATAACATATAAGCAACTACTGGGCCTTGCCCACTGCATCAGACCGAAGTCCGGAAACTGCATCGGACCGAAGTCCGGAAACTGCATCGGACCGAAGTCCGGAAACTGCATCGGACTGAAGTCCGGAACTAACCAGGGTCTTGCCCTCTGCATCGGACCGAAGTCCGGAAACTGCATTGGACCGAAGTCCGGAACTGACCAGGGCCTTGACCTCTGCATCGGACCGAAGTCCGGAAACTGCATCGGACCAAAGTCCGGAAACTACATCGGACCGAAGTCCGCACTGACCAGGGCCTTGCCCTCTGCATCGGACCGAAGTCCGGAAACTGCATCGGACCGAAGTCCGGAACTGACTGAACATAGCATAACATAATCACAACTACTGGCACAAACACATATACTACATACTGCATCAGACCGAAGTCCGGAACACATAATCACAAATTCATGCTTGAATCACAAAGACGTCAAGCACACTGAACTACTGCATCATACCGAAGTCTGGAACTACTGCTAACTAAACGGGCCGGCATTGTGGCCGTAGACCCATTCCTACTGGAAGGAAACTCACCTCGTAATTTGGCTGCTGAACAAACTGATGGGGAAACTGTCTGCTGCTGCTCCGGTATCTCCCCGGCTACAACTTCCCATAAATACACTCAATCAATT